ACCCTCAGCGGTAAAGGAACTCTGCACTCCTCCTTAGACGCATCATCCATTGAGGATGGAAGTCTATCTTCTTCCCCTTTGCCGCAACGTCATCAAACAGTATCTGCAAAACGTCCGACGATGAGTGTTTTGCACGGTTCTTAACACGTGGCAATCTGGGAAGATGTGCAAGACCCCTGGTGTTCTCGCACTACTGGTAATTACCTCAAGTTCACATAATTGCGCATCTGACAGACCCGCAGGCATATCAGTCTGTACACCGATCTCCCGTGAGGTCTGGTTCCTTTCGAAGCTCCTAACTCTACCCTCAAACCTACCAGTCTCGGGTGGAGGCGGTGGAGGTTCGGGAATTGGGGGAGTAGGAGGTCGCCGTAAAGTCCACAAGGAGCGGTATGGCTGCGAAGATGAAGCAGCCTCCTGAGTTACAGTTTCCGAAACCGGCGGTGTTGAGACATGGAGGTGTACATGAGAGGAAGCTTGTGGTGCAGAAGGTACGGACGACGAAGCTGTCTCCTCAGGGGGTCTCACCTCAGTTGGCACTGTTCTCAGAACAGTGCCTTCCTCTGCTTCCCTTTCTAAAGCCCTCCTGATGGCCTCCTGCCTGCGCGTTCTCTTCGTGCTTTCAGCATCAACCCTCACAGAGGCTATCTGGGGCCTTGACTCTTGGAGACACTGTCTCAGACAATGCTTCCCAAGCTCCCAGATAAACAGCACAGAACATGCCATCATCACCACAATCACATACAGATCTAAGTCAACTTGTTCCGTCTCCTCCTCATCTTGTGAGGCTGCCGGTTGTAGTTGTAACATCAAGACTGCTAACACCAACATCATGCCTTGACCTTCTGATGGATCAAGTGTATTGAATGTCCTGGACGTGGACGTCACTGCCTGCACAGAAGTGTCATCTGCAAGTGGAGTTACCACCCCGAGTATGCCATTAAGATACTCCAGACGGGGAGCTGGGAGTGCCTTAGTTAGGGCATCGGCAAGTTGTTCCTCTCCAGGGCAGTGCATGACGCGCAGCTTGGACTCCTCGATGAGTTCCTTCAGGAAATTAGCTCTTTCCCTAAGGTGTCGAGTTCGGTGGGATCCGCCGCCCTCGGCGAGAGTTATGGCGGCTACATTATCTACTCTTAGGGTAACTCCGGGGTCTGTGCTCAGCACCTTGGCTACTAAGGCTTGCACCGACTGAGCGAGTACAACTCCTTCGCACGCTGCTATTAGCTCACTCTCTGCGGTGCTTAAACTAACTAGGCCTTGACGTTTTGATTTCCAGAATACGCTTTGCCCAGCAAGTTGCACGACAATGCCAGAGATAGATCTCTCACTGTAAGGTGCAAAAGACGCATCAGTGAAAACGTCTAAGCTTTGGCTCTCAGTCGGAACGAGAGCTAAGCGTAAGCCCTTCGTATTGGCGAGATATGCGAGGGTTCTGAGCCCTAGTTTACTAACATAGGATGGGGATCTAGTAGCCCAACTAGACATCAGGCCGACGGCGAACGAGATATCTATCCTCGTCCTTTGCGATACCCACAATAGCTCCCCAGTTATTCTCTGGGCTGCCCGCAGCACATCATCTTGATACTCCTTTTCCTCTGCAGGTGCTTCACGTACCCACTCTTTAGGGATCGGCAGGTTGGCACGACAGGTGGGGGCGAGGTTGTGGCTCCGCACTAACTCGTCTATGTATCCTTCCTGCCCTAGATGAAAGCCTGCTACCCCTTCATTGTCTCTGACTTCGAATATGTCTACACCAAGGAACCTCAAGGCTTTGTGGGTCTGAGCCTTTTCAAGCTCAGAACACTGCCACCTTTGTTTGATCCACTCATGCAGAGCTGCCGCTACAGCTGGAGTCGACAAAATCAGCAGATCGTCGACATATACTAAGACATGTCCTATCACGTCCGTTCCTACCAGAATCTTCCAGAGATTCTCGTCGCTCACCGTTTTCTCTAACCGGGCATCACCGCTCGGTGTAGGGAAGAGCGCGGTCCGTAGGATTTGGTCTCGATATTGGGCCCACCATTTGGGGGCTTCTTTAAATCCGTACAACGCCCTACACACTTCCCAAACTTCTTCCTGCGTACATATGCCGAGTAGCACGAGTATTGCAGGAGGTTTTAGAGCGTATCTGCGGGTTGAGGTGCCTGGTATAGGGGCGAGCAGGAATGCGTTTTTTATATCAGTTGACCAGGCTGAGCGTCGGTGGCGCCCTGTGTGAACCAATATCATTCGTAGGGTTTCGGCTGCGGCTCCAGACGCGTACAGAATGTCTTCTGAAACCCCTTTTGCGTAATTCCCGCAGCTTACAATTCTCACTTTCCTACGGTAGGGTCGTCCTGGCTTAACTGTAAAGACGCACTTAGCGGGCAAGACTTCAATGTCCTGGTTTTGAAGGATCTTTCGGGCGTCTGCTCCATAGTGCCTTCTGATCGCTCCCATTCCAACCAGAGAGTCTAACTCTTCCTGTGCTGGAGTTTTCCATTTAGCTGTGTGCTGCCTCACGTCAGCTGGGGCAACTTGATGCACTACCTCTAATGGGGATGTAAGGCTGCTGAGCAACTCCTCGATGTTTGGAGTGAATGAGTTCTCTACAACCTTAGCCGCCTGAGGATCTCTCTGCTGTGAGCTGGCAAGTGCTGCTTCGACAGTTACGACCTCAGGGAGATGAATACCGAGCTGCACTTGACCCTGCACTACACTTAGAACCTCATGAGGTGCTACATCATACGACTGGGGATTGATACCCCTTTTCTCTCTCTTCACTAATTCGTCCCTTGCACTACTAGAATTCGTGCACGCTTGCATGACCTTTACACTAGGGACCTCATCACTATCTACGGGACTTAGTTCTGGCAGAAGGGGTGGCTCTGGTGGAGTTAATATGGTAGGAACCTGTTGCTCAACGGTGCTCACGGGTGGCATATTTGGTAGCCACTCGTCTTCCCAGTAATGAGAGGTAGGCTCATATGCAACGACCGCAAGACTACCATCATCAATAGGAGAGCCATCCTCTGACGGGGTTATGGCATTACTGGTTGCACCTACCTGGACCTGATCGGGCGGCACCTGGCCTGCATTGCTGGCTGCACCTACCTGGACCTGATCGGGCTGCACCTGGCCTGCATTGCTTGCTGCACCTACCTGGACCTGATCGGGCGGCACCTGGTCTGCATTGCTGGATGCACCTACCTGGACCTGATCGGGCTGCACCTGGCCTGCATTGCTTGCTGCACCTACCTGGACCTGATCGGGCGGCACCTGGCCTGCATTGCTGGATGCACCTACCTGGACCTGATCGGGCTGCCACCACTCATCCTGCCAGTATGTTTGGCCAGTCCATGCTTGGCTCGACGCGCTACCTGAAGAGCTAGTGTAATCATATGAGTGCCACCAGTTACTCGACTGCCACCACCCTCTGTTATCAGTATGAGTCTGCTCTGACGAACTACTCGAAGCGCTGGGATTGTGGTGATCAGGCCACTCATCCTCCCAGTAATGCACGGGGTAGTACATGCTCGCCGGGCATTTCGGAGTCTGTTCTACCCGCTCTTCGGGCACGGAATCCAGGTCATGCCAACGCTTGCTGGTGTTTGATTGCTCACCTTGGTTCGTTCGGACGCCAAGGTTAGGAACGGGCGGACCTGGGCTTCTTACGGCTAAAGAGCGGTTCTGAATAACCCACGGAATTTGTTGGCTATCTCGGTCAATTAGCCTGACTTCGCCTGTTCTTAACCCACTATTATTCGGGTTATCGGGTCTTCTGGTGCCAGGGGGATGCACCCCAAACATCACGCGCTCGGCTTCCCATCTAGTTAGACCAAATTCAATAAGGTCCTCCGGATATAGGTAGATGAGGTCTTCCGGTTCCTCGACACCTAACCTCTTAAGCTCAGCCTGGAGGTGTATTATATCCCTTTGCCAAAGAAAGAGGTTTAGGTCTTGAGGGAGAGTGTCGGCATTTGGCTGGTTTCGGCTTGCTCCCTCGGAAAGATCCCATCCAACAAGCTGCGTATTTGCGTCCGGTTGTTCATCTTGCGACGCCGGTCCCTGATCTCCTCTCTCCCACAGGGGAGGTCCATCGTCATCTTCCCTTATTGGATTCTCCCATGGCGGGGGAGAGCTGTCGTCATCCTCATCATCAGGCTTTCCGGGCCTCACTACCTTGACCTGGTACACATCTTCTAGTTTACTGGGCAGGTTAAACCCACAAGTCTGCAGAAGTTTCATATCTACCTCTGGCAACTTATGAATCCCTAGTGGGGAGTATCCCACCACAACCCAGTCTGGTGATCTCCGTACAGCATGATATCGTCGTGGATCAAACGACTTCACCTCCTCATTAATGACGTGCACATCGGGGGATGTCCAATCAGGGCTTCCCGGCGCGGCATTTCCCTTGGGGTCATGTGGTGGGCCTGTCCACAGCTCTGTGACTCCGGGAATGCAAAGAACGAAATTCCTCGTGTTCCATTCGTTGCGAAAGTCCCGATGAACTGGAACGTCTGATGCATGGATTAAGAGGATTGTGGCCCATTCCAATGCAGCATGCTGATCCTTAGTTCGAGACTTAAGGAACTTATTTAGGTATAGGGTGAGTTTAGGGTAGGTCTTGCACAAGGTGGTCACACCTCTTTGGCCACCATGCCCATAAGCTCCCAACACGAATCTTCCCTTGAACTCGCCCCGTCGGTCAGTGGTGGGCGACTCAAGTCTCTGGAGGGCGGTCAACGTCCTACGGAAGTGTGCATTGGAATAGTCATGGTCCAGCAATCCCTGTTCTGCCAGACCTTCGGGGTGGTTGGCACCTTCCTCACCTTCGACAAACCTGACGGTAGTCTTTTCACGAAGACGTCGGTCGGGAGGTAGAGGCATTGACTCCCCGTCGGGAATTAGTTCTTCCTCCTCCTCCTCGGACGGAACATCAGCTTCCTGTAAAGGCGGAGGTTGTGCCTCTCGTAGCAGTTCAACTTCCGCTACTCCTGTCCTGAACCCCCTCGAAGCTACTAGATTGCCTTCGGAAGTGAACAATATATGGCCATCGGTCACTGTCAGGTGTGGTGCTCCATACTTAGTCTTCACCCATCTAGTTATCAGCTCTTTATGGCCTCCAGCGGGTTTCTTAAGTTTGTGCAACACTACCTGTCCAAAGGCTGGAATAGGACTTTGTCCCAGCACGGCACGGTTGTGGGACTCCGATGCCCAACGCATGGCAATCGGCCAGTATGTAGACGGCATATCGTTGGCAGCTAAGAGTGTTCTGGCCCTAGACTTAAACCAGCCTACTATCCTTTCAGCTAACCCATTACCCTGTTTGTCCGTAGGTATGGTGGTTTGTAGCTTCACCCCTTGTCCGGGTAGCCACTTCATCAAGGTCTCGGACGTGAACTCGGTGCCGGGGTCGCAATGAAGGATTCTCAGAGGGAATTTCTGAGTTATGCGCAAAATCATCTGCTGGATACCCGCCGTTACATCTGGGCCGGTTTTTGACTTCAAGCCTACAAAGTATCTTAGAGTAACTATTTCCAGGCGTGAAGTTGCGTCCTTTATAGCGGCTCCGAGTTGATTGTCATCAATCCATTCATATACCTCTTCATCACCCTCTACCGTGGGACCAACATCCTCAGCAGATTCATCTGGATCTTCTATTGCTCTGACCGAAGTTAGAGCCTGCTCCGCTGCTATCCTATCAACGTATTCATCAAAATCAAACTTCATATTTTCTGCAACGTCCTCCCCAGGCTCGGTAGGAGCATATTCTTCCGGAGCACCCGGGAGATCCTCGAACGGATCATTCGCACCTTCGTTGCGTGATGGGGCAGTGAACTTGCGGGCTATCATCGATTTTGGCATTCTGTATACCCCTATCAACCCGAACTTAAGGTGAGGGTTTCCGGAGACGGACTGCTCATCTCTACCACGCTCGGTGGGAGGTACCGGTCCAAAGAGGTCGACCGACAAGGTATACGCTTGAGGGTTCTTTATCTTACGATGTTGTACCCCTAAGCCTGACCCCTCTATGATGAATTGACAGTCCCGTCTATATGGGAGGTGACCTCGCATAATGTGCGCTCGCCACTCCTCGAGCTCAGACGGCTTAACTGCATTCACGCCGACCTCATTTGTGGAATTAAGGGGCTCAAGGTTCTCGGGAAGAGTGTCTTCTTCAGAGCATGAAGATGGGCATTCCTCAGCGGGGTTTTCCCTGCCATCAGCGCCTTCCTTTAACCCTTTAGCTATCTTAGCGTCTAGTTCTGCAACGTCGTGCCCCTTTATCTTCCCCTCTAAAGCTTCGACGATTTCTTTCTTGAAACCAATGCACCACTTACTGGCCTGGTTGGCATCCGTGGCTAACGGGGTGTTTGGTTCTCCCTTAGGAGGCAGGCCTTGCAAGTGACCTAATGCTAAATTGGTACCTATAATTGAAGGCCGCAACCAATCGTGCCCTAATGAGCCTTGGCAGAACCTTATGGTTTTAGCATTGGCCCACTGTTGAAAGGACCTCCAGGCCTCGGTGCTCCAAAAGGTCTCTGGTCTTACTCCTTGGAGATCTGTGTGACACACTGATGGTGACGAGGCTAACACCTCCTTCAAGAAGGGTATTGCACAACCTCGGGCGACCGAGGCGATGGACCACAGAAGCATGTCTTGAACTCCCAAGAGGTTCTCCTTGGTTATGTTATCATCATTAGTGGACAATCCCCACACGTCCTCAGTGGTACGGGTGTTGACCGATCCTTCACTGGGGCTCCAAGTGCGGTATGGGGGAGAGGATAGCAAGGTTACCAGCCTTCCCTGTGCAGCGGCCCAGAGGAGGACGGACCAAACTCCTCCCTCAACACTTAGATCCCAACCTCTTCCACCGGGTTCCTGGATATCAACGCTCAGATACTCTAAATTCTTGGCTTGCGCCCACTGCTTCAAGGGGTCGGATTCCGCGCAAGGGCCCGCACAGAGATATACAACCCAACGTCTCGAGGTATGTAGGGCTCTGCGTCTGGCTCTACTAAGAGGAATTCTCTTTAGTAGCTGCCAACCATGATCATCGGTCAACCCTGGAAGTTCCTCACACATCCTTGCCTTGATAGCCTCGGGCACTTGCTTGAGATACGGTTGTGCGAACACAGCTCGAAGAAGCTGAGTTCTTTTCCCATTGGAGATGAAGTCACGTATCGCCTTGGTGGGGTCAACTGGAGCGGAGAGTTGGCTGAGTTCAGCCTCCATCGCCTGTACACTTCGCTCAAAGTCCCGTAACCTTCGTGCTTCAAGTTCTGCGATGAGCTTCAAAGCTTGCTCTTCTTGAACGTATGGGCACGTGTTACTTGAAACCCCAACCTTGAGAGGGCCTAGCTGAGGATGGATCACCTTGAGACCCTTTCTTTTACTCCACGTGACTTTGCAACCCAAGGTCTGTACTAGTGCCCCAAATGGAAGTATGGTCTGAGATTTGGAGGTACCATTGTCTTCAGACGCGGGAGGAACCACCAGCGTACCCCCACTCGTTTTAAACCACTCTTCCTTGAGATCTCCAGCTAGCGTCACGTCAACCCTTTCTAGGTCCCTCATTTCCCTTTTGAATGGCACCACAGCGTGGGTGGCTCCACTATCAAGAAGTGCCTTCACCTGCGCCTCATCATCAACTAGGACTCTAGATCGATCGTCCGCAAGCTTCAACATTTTCAACTCATGCTCCTGGGCAAACGCTCGCAGCGACTCGATCTGAGCGTTCAACGCTTCCAGGGTAACCGGAGTTCCGGGTGTCACCGGTCCCGTAGTAGACGCGCCTTGGTTACCAGGTGGTGGTGCCGAGCTTATAGGAACGGCTTGCTGCACACCAGGCAATGGTGACGGAGTGGCTTGCTGTAGGATCTTTGCTGCATCTGCCAGCATGGACTTTATCTGTTGTTGCGAAACCTCTTTAGGCGGCGAAGCGGCACTGGAGGCTGCGGCCCCGGAATTACTCTTCGGGTTGTTAGGGTTCTTAGGGTTTACCGGCGGGGACTTATACTTCGCCTTTTCCTCACCCTTCAATCCGGACTTACACTCCGAGGAGCGGTGACCCTTTCCCCCACACGTACGGCATCGTTGCGGCCGCTCTGAAGCTGGGATGGAGCTCCAGTTGTGGACGAATGAACAGTCAGCACCTTTCTTACACCCACCAGCGGTGGTGTAGAACGAACAGGGAGTGCCCGAACCCTGCTGGGTTTCTTGACTGCTGCTATTCTTAGGGTTGCTAGGAGTCTTTGGGTTGGCCTTGCCGTGCTTAGGGTTCTTGGGGCTACTAGCCGGGTCTTCTACCCCCCTAACTTTAGCGTTTGTCGCTGAGGCTGGTTCCTTTGGCTTCTCGGCGTCCTTGGAACCTGTGCGATGCACCATGGCCTCTAGTTCCCCCAACATCTGCGCATGCAGTTGTTCTACTTTATCATCGTCGGGGTTGGTATCTACTTGTAGTGATGCCCGGATTAGATTCACCCTGAATGCTACGTCTGCATTTGCCTGAAGGGCGGCCCGGGTTATGCGCTCTAGTGCTTTAACCCTCAATGCGCAATCTGGAAGAGTTCCTCCCAACTCTCGCATTCTATCGCACCATCTATGCCACTTACGCAGCTGGTCAACTGTGTCCCTCACAGTCGTTCCCGGACTAGGCTCCTGAATTTGCCTTAGCCCTATTTCACGTTCATTTAATCCGCCTGGTGCGTAGATAACATAGAGTCTCGCTACGACAGGCAGCAATCCCGTTACTCTCGCAGCACTCAGCTCATCCCTGATAGCCGAGGGACACGCAGCTATAATCATCGTTTCAATCCTACGGGACACTCGAGTCCACTTAGGCTGCAGTATGTCATCGGACGGCACCGGCTTTGAAGTCAGCTTAGAGACGGCGTCCCGCCTCAAGTAGCGGCTATACCATCCCCTTGCTTCTTCTTGCACCAGATCCCATAGTTCTTCGCTGGTGTCTGAAATATCACTGAGTGCCGGTTTACTGGCATGGAGCCAGTCCGCAAATTGCAGGCATGACTCAGGACCGGCTGTCGGGAGGCTTGGCAGAGAGTTAACACCCGGTTTGATAACTTCTTGTTTCACTTGCTTCGGGCTTCCGGCTAAATCAGCCACCACACCTTGTAGCTGGGCCATTCCTGTAAGTACCACGTTTAGAGGATCCGGGGAACCTACAGAGGGCCTTGAATCTGGAACTTCGGGAGGCCTGTCTGAAGTTTCAACTGCTTCAAAGTCCAGAGCGCGAGCTACTGGGGCTTCAGGTGCCACTTTGGGGCCTAGTTTATCCGCTGTTGCTCCAAGTCCAAGAGCTTGCATAGTCGGGGCAACGGCCCTCATGCCGGAAGGACGCTCAGGCATAGGCGCTTCGCCGGGGCTTATCAACATTTGGATTGGGTGGTGCTTGCCTCCGACCTTTGGAATGGATTCAGGCTGAGGGGGAGGAGGTGGAGCAGGAGGCGGCCCTAAGTCCAAGGCTCGATCTGGAGGCGACATTGGTTTGGGAGAAACCACGCCGCCAAGGAGATTCCCGAATCCTCTACCAATCCACTCTAGACCCGCAAACCTCCCAGAACTCACAGAGCCTACCGGTCTAGCACTCACATCCTGACTGTACATTTGCGCCGAAGCTTCTTGCCTCAACGCTCGGTTTTCCGACATCAACATGTCTAAACGCATTCTCAATTCCCGGTTTTCTTCATCACGTTGTGTCATGAACTCCTGTACCTGACGTCTCACCTCTGCCTGAATATCACTCGAGCTCGTTGATGGAGGCCTTATTCCGGAAGACGGTGCTTCAGGGGCATAAAGGTGAGGCGCGGATGTCTGTAGCACCTGTAGCCTCTGGAGCGTTCGTTCATCTAGAAGTGGCGTGGCAGGAATCTGAGCAACCGAAGGGGCCCTCCTTTGATCCTCCGGGCTCCCGGATTGAGCAGAAGTGAATCCTTCCATCTCAGCGGCGATGTTCTGGGACGGTGGACCTGTAGGCCCACGTCCCAAAACAAGGCCTTCCACGGCAGCAGGGATCGATTGTACAGCCTTTGCCATGCCTCCCAGAAAGGACGAACGATCCGTCCCACCTTCAGTGGCTCTTCCTTGCGACAAGCCTTGATCTCCAGTTTGAGGTCCCATCAGGAAACCGTGCCCGGAGGCTGAGGGTGCTGTCATCCTTGACGAAGACGGAACTGCTTGTTCCACAGAAAGATTCAAATCTCCTTGTGGTTGGGGGGGCGGTCCATCCGCTCCCCTCGGTTCTCTGTCAATACTCGCCGCTGGCGCTGCCACTGTCTCTCCATCCATGTCTTGCGGGCCCCTGGGTGGAGGAACTGGCACACCATTGGGAACTTGCTCACGTTCACGATCATAACCGGCGCGTCGGTCGGCTGTGGTCGGAGCGCCCCTTGGGCTCATAACCTGTTGACGGATGTCAGTATTCAAACT